ATTATTGTCCTTTGAAAAAGTGAACATCATTGACAATTTGCACCTTTTTTGCACTTTTCTGTTCGCCTTAAACATATCATAACAAAATAATATACTGATGAATAAAATTACCCATGTAGATTTTAAATGGCAGGAAGTTTAAATCTAGGAGTGTTTACACTTTTAAACACATCATTAAGAATCGACTTATTTGTTATTAATTACATTTAATTATGATACATGAGTGGATTTTGTGTAATATAATCTTGGGTGAAAGTGATAATTGTTCATGCTACAACTAAGTGAGTGAATGGACATTTTAAGACTTACAATAATTAAAATATATTTAATAAAAGCATATAATTAGTGCGACAAATGTATATAAACTGAGAGAAGTAAAACGAAGTCATGGGAAACATATCTAAACAATAGAAAGCAATCTTCGGCTCTGAAGACAATCTCTCGATAAATGCCATCACTTTTAGTCGATCTCTGGTCGAGAAGACTGGTCTACGGCTCGCATACGTTAATAACAGGGCATATGGTTTGTGGGCCTCTCTCGGTATCCATTGTAACCGCGAGAGCGGTATAACCAGAAAACAAATGTTAACAAACGTGATGTAAAACATAGCCAAACGATACAAAAATGTTGTACTTTTGTGATGTAATTCATAAATACTTAGTTCAATGAAAACGGATGCCATATAATATGCAATAAATATGATAAATTTGAAAATTACATTCAAATCTCTGACCCATAGCTCGTAATAATGGTGTTCATTGATGGCCCGCAACAGCCGTTGTCTAGTATTAAACCTAACACTCCATGCGATGATTGAGTGAATTTCCAGAAACTTGTGTTTTATATATATAATATTGTAATGAATGCGACATTACATGCAAACCAAGCGCTGCCAAACGCCTCAATGGTTGTAATGATAGCGAGTATTACGCCATACATTGTAAATATTATTCTCATCAATGTGAAATCTTGTATGATTTGAATGACTGCCATAATTACATAGATTAATGTGCAAAAGGATACTATGATTACAAATACAAGGGTCAGCACTGGTATTAATACACTCGCCTTCAAACTGATATTTGCTTCTCTCCGACTATTCAATAAATACTCGAGTCGTTTGGATTGTATTTTGTGCAGGAATTGAATGAAATGCAAAACACTGTACCTCTCGTGGTATTCAATGACAGCATTGATAGAAATAACACAAATGATTGTAACAATAAATTGAGTCCCTATTAGAACTCTATTACCAATATAACTTTCTATATTGCCCAACATCATATCAACCCATGGGTGTTTAACGTAAGTTGAAATTATTTAGCTAACAAGAGAATCAACCATGATTAATTTATTAATTGTGAACCATATAAGTCGTTTTCGTGTATAATAACCGGTAACCAAATCATTCAAAGTTGTCGATAGAGTGACGCAAATATATTTCAAATATTTATCAAAAGTTATTATTTCTTTGTCCAAAAATCTATGGCTTTCAATATAATCGTTGATTACATCTCTTGTCCTGCGTTTAAATGAAATTATATTTCGTATCAATAAATTCATTGTTAATTTTTGCTTAAAATTAGTTATTATAAAACTTTACTTATAATTTATATTTATATAATTTATATATTTAATTTATGCATTATATAATTTACAATTTATAATATGACTTGTATTGTGCTGAACGCACTTCTGTTGTAGAGTTTATTGAGTCAATTAATTTTATCTCAAATATATTTATTGATTTTGAATAAACGTCAAAATTCTTCTCAATTTAAAGTTTCATAAATAACTTTAATGATATAATTTCAAAAAATTAAATTTATAAATATATTTATTGATTTATAATTAACTTATGATTTATTTAGTCTTCAACATTGTTTTGAAAATAAAATCAAAACTTTAAGCGCGTGTACTTTATAATGTTTATAACAAAACTTTTTTAATGACATATCAAGCACAAATAAATTTGTATATCCGTATATGCGTATATGAAAATAGCAAAGGTTCATAAATTATGAATCATAATAAAAGTAGATTTAATTGTGGCCATAAAATTTATTCTCATACAGAGTATGTCAATTAAAACAAATTTATCAAAAATATACCAGACACTTTGGTCTGGATTATCATTAGATAAACCGTTAAGTCAATTAATGCGTATATAACATTTATAAATTAGCATGCAAAAATGCGTTTGCTTATTAGCCAGTATAATTAGTCTGAGGTTTGGTTTCTCCCTTGTAATGATCGGTGATATAATTTGCAATTTAATTAATTATTGTTTATATTTCCTATGTTTTGTTTGAAAACAAATTAGTATATAATGAATATGCTTTCAATACATTTGTTTATTACAAGAGAAAGTCATATAAAGTGTTAACTATTGTAACTAACTAGTGTTAACTATAACTATTGTTAAATAACAATAATTATAATGATACAATATTCTATGATTTAAGTTAATTCTACATTAAATTCATAATGACCTCTATTGTTAATTGTTATTATGAATAATATTAATAGTTTTTATGTTTATTTATTTATGATTTAATAAAATCAAATACCCATGGCTTACAAATTGTATATAAACATTAATTAATTATTTTATTAATTATTACCTAAGTACAAATACGTGTATTTTTAGCATACGTTAATTAAGCACATGTTTAATTATAAATAAATGCATTAAGCTCTTAATGAAAGATACAAAACAATAACATGATAATTTATATATTATAAATAGCTTGTTTTGCAACAAAAAATAATTAATAATTGCAAGAAACAAAGAAACAATTTTATTAGTACATTGTTAGTGTAAATAATTATAAATAATAAATACTATATGACTTAGAATGTAAAGACTTAAGACTTAAATTATAGGACTTAAGATTTAAATTATTTAAATGTAACAATTTATTCAAAATATAATATAATAACCTCAATTTACATTTGCACGCTTTAAATTATTACAAATGTAAGTGGTATAATGCATAAATTCAATGGACACACATTAAGATTGGCCACAAGTCATGTATGTGCAAAACATTTGACATTCATCTCGATGTTAATTTAAAATTTATTTTTTATTTTAGAATGAACCATATTTGTTTCTGAAATATAATTTAACAAGTAACAAAAATGAATTCATCACTGGTATTGATGTGACACTTTTGAACACAATTGCCAAACATTGGAACATAAGTTATGATATTATTGATTGTCATAAAGTTTGGGGCTCTAAACCAGTTAACGGTAAATGGCCCGGAGTTATGGGAAAACTACATAGAAATGTATACAAATTTGATCAAAATTTTTACAATTATAAATTTATTTTACAATATTACAGGAGGCAGACATAGCGTATCGTTTATTAATGACCAACATTAGACAAACTGGTATTGATTATACTTATCCATACGATTTAGATATCATGTCATTCACGTCTCCATTGCCGACGACAACCCATTTCCACAATTTGTTGCAACCCTTCGACAGTTATATTTGGCTCTCAATCCTAACCACAATCACACTATTAATGACCGGTTTATTCACTGCTAATAGCATCTATAAATCCAGTAACAAATACACCATATGTTGGAATGTAATCATAATCTTTTTGGGACAAAATATACGAAAGTATATTATGAAACATCCTGTATATTTTATTTTACATCTATGGATTATAATGTCATCGATACTAAATAAATCCTATTCAGGGGTAATCTATTCGTTAATCACAGTTCCTGTGGAGCATAGGATTGAAAGCATCGATCAATTGATTGAAAGTCAATATACAGATGGACTCAAAGTTGTGGTGGAAAAAAATTCAATAACACAATTTTTTATGGTAACATACTGTATATTTACAAATTTTACGTTTATGAAAAATTACATTTAATTTTAGGATAAACTAAATGACCAAAATGGGAAAATAGTAATTAATTACATCAAAACAGACGCCAACACTATATTTGATTATTTAACCAAAAGTGATAAAAAATATTCAATAATATATTCCCGAAACAAATTGCTATATTATTTGCGTTTAAATAACATTACCGGTCATTATCTGTCCAACTACAGTATAATAAGATTTCACTATATTTATGCTCAATTGGTTTAGCTAAGAAATCAATATACCTTGATGATTTGAATTTAATGTAAGTACATTGTGAACACAATATGCATAATTAATTAATTATTTTATATTTTTTGTAAGATTATCACGTATACGAGAGGCAGATCTCTTCAATCATTGGACAAAACAATTTTATATGAGTTTAAATAGTATTTTCATCGCAACCACTATTAAACATGGTAATTATTGTGATCTAAATTATCATCATCTTGGTTTTGTGTTTTATATTTGCATTTATGGAACAATAAGTTCTGTTATTTTGTTAAGTTTTGAGTTTATCATAAAGACATCTAGAAATGTATTATTTAATTTATAATTTCAAATAATAGTAATCCTGTACATGCATTATATTATATTTGTTACTAGTCTTTACAGACAATTTAGTTTACAAACCATTGTAACATCACAAACAATTTTAATAATATAAAAATTGTTTAATTTATTTTTCATAACTTTATTTATTTGTAAACAAATTGAAATTTTAATTTTATTGTTGTATATTTTTGTATACAAATAAATTATTATTAAATTAGTATAATAAAGTTATTTTAATGTTTATATTTAATTTTTAGTTGTGTAATTTTAATTTTATTAATATTTATTTATTAAATAATATTTATATATTATAAAATAATAAGCATGTTTAACATTTAAAGGCAATAAATTCTAGAAATTAGAATAATTAATTATTATTTATTTATTTGTAGAAATTAATATTTAATTAGTATATTAGTATTTAAACTTTAGATTAAATTAGAAAAAACTCATTCAGAAATTCAATTATTTCAATGAAATACAAATCTATCACAAAAACAATGAAAACCTTTATAATTTTATCACTAATTTGTATTACAACTACCAGTTCTTATAGTTTTTATTATTATTTATCTCCCACTAATTTAATATTATAACTAATTTAAATTTGATAATATATTATTAATATTTAAGAATTTATTTTTAACAAAATTTAATTCCCTGTTCGTTTGTCTTAAAAATGTTTTAAAACAAATCTATTTATCTTTCGGAAACAATTTGGACAAAAATCTGGTATTAACACGTGGCTTATAACGCACCTTGTTGGCATCGGCGTTATGCGCAACCTTGGCCTTTTTCAGCTGGTCCAACATGGCCCGAATTTCGGGACCTTTATGCTTAAGCGAGCACAGTTTGTTCACGCGATCATCTATTTCCTTGATAGTAATGGACGACCGCTTGGCACTGGCGGCCGAGCCGTCCATTTCCCTTATGATTAACTGCTTCTCATTGTTGTATTGCTTCAACACATGTTCGAGTCGTGTGATTGTGGCCCCGGAGTTGGCATTAAAAGTGTTGTGCCGTTCGTTGGCTATCAGGTGTCGGATGTATTCCTCGAACGCGTCGTTTATAGGCGTTAACGCATTGTTGGCCAGAAAACAGGCAAATAATGACATCGACTGAACGATTGTCTCGTTTTCAGCCTTCAATTCGGCGATCCGTTGGTCCAGACTTTTGATGTGCTCCTCTTTGGCCTCAGCGGCCGATCGGGTCGACTCAATAGCGGTATCCACCTCCGGGTCACGCACCATGGTCACTTTAGTTTGCGTCTCGTTCACCATGTGCATATGCTGATCATAACTGTGACCACACTCGTGGCACTCTGTCTGCTCGGTAAATAAGCCTATAAGTGCTACATATGGTAATAATAACATGTCTAAAAATCCATATGATTCGCAATCGCTGGTGCTATATTCGTTGAACGCGTTGCATCTGAGTAAACCATCATTGCCCACGATGTTACCATCGCCAAAACTGAGGTAGCATGGCGAATGGCATTTGGTTTTATAATTAATGTGGGTTACGCCGTGGTTTGTCACGCGTTCAATGCACTGCTCAGCGCTGCACACAGTCTGCGGCCGATCCAATGGTACGGATATGATCTCAACCGATGGTATGTCTAGTTTTGTACGCAACTCATCAATACTTCCCATACATTCATTCACTTCAGTCCTATGTTTCTCGCATTGGTTTACGTTATCCGCGATATTCTTCGAGATGTCGGCCAACGGTTTGATTAGTAATTGTATGATTTGTTTGGCGTTATTCACCGATAGTGTGTCCATCACTTTATGCGGCGGTAGTTGTATTATGTGATCGAATAATCGTTGACATTCTTCCACAGATCTAGTATTAAATTAAAATTAATTATTTATTTACAAAATGATAAGATAAATAAAATAAATAATTAACAAATTGTAAAATTTAATTAAAATTACTATTAATGCTTATTCTATAAGCGCTTATTGAATTTATTCTAAGTTTATATTATTTAATATTTTTGAAAAATACTTAATATGAATAATTTTACATACCTGTCCCAACTTTCAACATAACTGGACTTATATTGCGGATCAAACTGTATATTATTTGGCGGAACTGAAGCCACCAAATATCTGAAGGCCTCGTTATCGAAACAATACGTTGTGTCCGCGTTATAAGGGATGTCAACATTTGGCGGATTTTCCCTAATTTGGTCCAATATTTTGATTAAAGCGGGTCCGGATTCTCCGGGCATGTAATGAGTGCTCCGGCAGTTTGTGAACAGAAATAGTATATTATTTGCGGCGCTTTTATTCAAATGAGTGAACAATTCTAATATGCAATACTTGAACACAACGCCAACTCTCGATTCGTTTGGCTTTAAAAGCACACAAAAGGCGTTGATTTCCCGATAATTGCTAATAAAATTCAATATGTTTTGCATATTTCTATTATCCCTCTCCACGCCATCCGTGTCCGCAATTCCCGGCGTATCGATTATATTGAGGCTTATTTTCTCGGTTTCAAACGTATAACATTTGGGATACTTTGTGGCCGATTGTGTCGGGTCTCTAGTATTTTCGTTGTCATTATGATTACCCAGTGTTACCTTCACTGGTCTTTTTGTCTTCGGATCTGCTATCGTAAAGCTGACGGGTATTAAACATATGGGCCGTCCGTTCGCCGCATCCATACTCTCGAAAGACATATAGTTTACGATTGCGTTAATGAATGTGGACTTTCCCACACCTGATTCGCTCAACAATAGTATTGTTATCTCTTTTTTTTTATTTACAAATTGTAAAATAAAAAATAATAGGAAATTAATATAAAATATATTATATTTTACTTGTTAACTATTTATATAAATTACCTTGACGAGTGGCATTGTGACCACTTTATCATTATCATCAAACTGTTTGGCCATATTGGTGAAGCAGCAATTACCTAATGCAAATTTTTTAAAATTTTATTAATACTTAAATAGAGTAAATTATTTGTAAAATTTGACTATAAATTTATATAAAACATAATAGAGATTATCTGTAATTTTTATTTAATCATAATAAATATAATAAATATTGATAGAAATTAAAATTCAATACATACGGCATACAACTTAGTTGATCTGATTCTGAGCGGTCGCCAACTATTGTAGCCACAAGTAGTGGACAATAATGAGTACAATTCGTATACAATTAACAAATAATTTTATTATAAATATTCAAATAAGTGTTCACTTCGTAAGTGAGAAATAGACTGCAATGTATACATGAAATTCACTGACTATTTATAGGCATAATTGACAAAAAGGTAATTAATAGACAATTAGTGATTATATGCATATCGTATGCTATGAGGTGTTCGAAGGGAGTGCTGATTGGCCAGAGAGCCCAACAGATTCATCACGATCAGTGACTGGAATATTACCAGGAGTGATCATTTCAAGTTCAAGACAAAATAAAACAACTCATATACAGCGATGTTATAAGTATAGTATAAGTTAAGCCTGGCCAATCTTTTTTAGTATATCACAGATACAGATTCACAGTATGCCATAAAAAGGTGGCGCACCGGTCAGTAAAAAGTAAGGTAATTTACCTCACAAAATATTTATTATAACAAATAAGCACTTAGGTTAAACACAGTATATTTAAAAAGGCACAAAAAATTAATATATAGCTTATTATTAATTAATTATTAACTATTAATTCATTGTTTTAATTGTGAAAACAATTTGCATAAAATTTGCCCAAAAAATAAACAACAAATGATTTTGTAAACAATTATCGTCTGTTTAAAGCATATCCTTTTCAAATACAATGTTACAAAATTTGTTAAAACATTGCGCCCCTTATATTAAATGTAATTATATTTAATTATAATATAAAATGTTTATCAATTGTCAATTTAATCAATTAATTGTGAATATATTTATGTTGTATATTTTTCTGAACATGTGGCTACACTAAGTGTCCCAGGGATACTAGATTGGCCAGCAATAGTATAAGTTAACCACAATTCTGGTATTACTCAAAGAATAGATAGGCTCTCAATCCTAACCACAATCACACTATTAATGAGAGTTTTATTCACTGCTAATACTATTTATGATTTGAGTAATAAATACACAATATGTTGGAATGTAATCATGATATTTTTAGGACAAAATATACGAAAGTATATTATGAAAAGTCCTGTCTATTTTATTTTACATGTATACGTTATAATGTCAACGATACTAAATAAATTTTATTCAGGGGTAATCTATTCGTTAATCACAGTTCCTGTGGAGCATAGGATTGAAAGCATCGATCAATTGATTGAAAGTCAATAACAAGGCGTTCAGAAATAAATGTCCATAATGGCCATAACTTAAAAACGAATCGAGATAATTTGATTCTGTCTTCGGATTATAATAATACTAACCCATGTCCACATCTCACATAAAATTTATCGG